TGCTTCTTTGAAAATGTTACAACTAGCCGCGCGTAACTCGAAAATTTAACTCGCAACTCGGCCTATAATTAATGGTGGCTCTTTGTTCGGGTTGTCGTGTTGAGCGTATGGTGCTGGTCATCAATCAAAAACCGCGTATACAATAGACTAAGAACAGCCGTGAGACGCGCGACGAAGGTCCCCCAACATAGGCTTGCGCGCGCTTGGGGGCGCCCGCAGCTGGCCGCTAGAACAGCTAGGGAGCTAGCAGCTTCTTGTACCATTGTAATTGAGTAGATTTTTCCAGATTTCCCAATCTAGCCGGTGAAGAATCTGGACGAGATGCGCAGGATACCTTGGCATCGTTCCAACCGCTTATCAATAGCCAATGTAGCGAACAACTACGATTTTTCCTGTGTTCTGTGTATTTCCCAATGTGTAACGAGAAGGTAATTTTTTTCCACTTGCTCACGCTATGCTTTCTAAAAAATGAAATTTCCAGATCCCTCAACTCATAGGGCCATGTCGACCGTTGTGTGAGTCCGTACGAGATAAATGTCTGCCATTATTGAAGGATTTTGGATTTTCATGGCCAACACAAATCGACTGCAACAAATTTATATTGGGTGAATTACTACGCTAAAAATTTTTATCTGTAAGAAACCTGGTGCAGGAGGGCTCTTATCAAAAAGGGGCGTGGCTTGAACTACATTGGCATTTTTTTATCTGCGAGGCAAGCATGCGCTTCTTATCAAAAAGAAGAGATTCCTCAGCTAAATTTTTACTCATAGGAGGCGCGTATGGGAGGAAGTAGTCAAAAAAGGGCGTTGTTTGAGCGCCAAATTCAACATTCTTATCTCTCAGTAAATAAGGTAAGCGTGGGAGTATTCTTGTCAAAAGGGGCGTGGCTTGAGCCATAATTTATTCCTTTTCTCATAAAATGCAAAGTGTACCCAAAACGACGGGTTGGTGTTATTTTTTGTCTGCTTTTGAAAAGATGTTTCAACATAATTTATTTGTGGTGCAATGAGCCTGTGGGGGGTTCTTGCCAAAAAGGGGCGTGGCTTGAGCTACAATGACATCCTATCTCGAGATGAATTGTGTTTTCAGAAGAAGACGTTGCTTGAGCTACGATCTAAAATAATTTCTGGTTTTGTAGTTTTCAAAATGTCGTTCCGTAGTTTTTTCTCAAAAATGCCTCTTAAGAGGGCAATTGTGCGCAGTTCCCTTACTCAAACGAACCATTTTTAGGATATTTTATCGTCTATTTTTGTATTTGATTGAGCAACCTGTCCAATGTTTACATGCACTGTTTACACTTTAGAAAACAACAATGAAGATATGTGCATGCGCGGACCAAATGAAGAAGGTGTGATTGCTAAAACACCTGAGGAAGAAAAAGAAGAATGTCCACCTGAGCATATTTATGTAAATCGTAGTGGCCGTTGTATACCCATCTGTGCGGCTGGTCAGGGTATCAAACAGGTAGGAGAGCTTTCAAAAATTGTGACTATCCATCGAACATTTGTGTAATTACAGACTGACCGAGAATCTGCCTCCACTGCTCTTTTTGTTTTGTCAATCATCAGTTTGGTAGTCACAGCCATATGTGTCCTGACATTTGTCATGAGGTAAGGCAAATATTTTTGGAATTATGACGCCATCTTCCAAATTTTTTTTTGAATTTTAGACGTCACTGTCTCACAGCCCTACCGGAAACGAGTTTACTGTGGGCAGCGCTGTCATTTGCATTGAGTTCGATAGTCTACCTCTTTAGTTTACTTTACCGAGAGCAGGTTAGACTTCGGCTACCATTTTTCCAAAAATTCTTGATCTGGTTTTCAGATCTCATGCACTGATTATTCTTCCCACCTCCTTTTCGTTGTCGGTGATTTCCCTCATACTCCATGTGCTTGCGTATCTGCTCTTTTGTACTATTTTGGGACCGCTGGCCGTTTATGGTGGTTAGTACTCTGCTGCACTTGGAATCAGCAGACGACACGATCTGGAAATTTGGTAAATTTGAAAATGCGATAAAAGTGGTTCATATCCGAAAATCAGTGGGTACAGGAAAAATATCGCGCTCAAATTCAAATGCTTGCTTGGGCCTCGCCATTGGGTTTGGTATTGTTTGCCCTGATGGCAAGAAGC